GGCCCTGGGCGCCGGGCCCGCTCCTGCATGTGGGAACCTTGGCTCGGGCTCCCTCCCCGGGCTGCCCCGCGCGGGTCCCCTCTGCAGCGCCAGGCAGTGCCAGGTGTCCCCTGCCCGCACCAGCCGCTAGGTGACACCCTCCCTGCAGGGACGTGACTGCGGGTGGCTCCTGCGCCCATGGGGACGGGCAGGCTGCTCTGCCCCGTCCCCCCCTTCAGCCCCGGGCATCCCCAGCCCCTTGCCCCTCGTCCTCACTGTACCGTAAAAGACAGAGGGAGGGTCATAGAAGAAGGTATAGTCCGTGAAGAAGAGCAGGTAGATGCCGTAGGACCAGGACAAGGTGTAGAAAAACAGCTTCCAGGCGCTCTCGGGCATCTTGGCAGCATCCTTGGGCTGCAGGTTGCACCACTCTGCAAAGGGCTGCGAGGAGAAGGGAGAGGAACCGTCAGCCAGAGAGGAGCCCAGGGCGGTTCAAAGGCCCCGCAGGAATCAGGGTATTCCAGGAATCAGGGTAATCCCAGGAGCGAGGGGCAAAGCCGCCTCGGATACGGCTGGAGGAGCAGAGGGAGGCCGGCGCCGCTGCAGCCTGCCCGCACTGACACCAAACCTTCCTCGCCCGACTCCTGCGCTCCCGAATAACCCGCAGCTCCCAGCGCTCGCGCAGGAACGGCAGGAAAGAGGGGCCGCCAAGGCCAGAGATGTCCTCGGGACACGGCAGACGCAGCGCCCCGGGGTTACATGTAGCTCCCTAGGGACCGGCGCAGCGCAGGGTGCAGACTAAAGGCCTCCAGGGAGCAGCGCCCGGCACCCCCGGGCTATATTAAGGCCCCAGCTGTCCCCAGGCTGCGGCTGGACCGGCTTTTAGCTCCTCTCCGTGTCACAGTTGCAAAGGGCTCCCCTGCCGGAGCTGTCCCAGCCTGGAAGCGCCTTGTTCCCAGCTTGGAGCTTCCCCCGTCAAGTCCTGCCAAGCGCCAAAGGCTCCTGAGGGAGCGAGGGCTCCCCCCGCCGCGCGGCCCTGCCTGGGAACGCTGCTGGCAAGGCTGGCTCCAGCAGGAAAAACGGGAGGAAGCGCCAAGGGTGAATGAATAATGCAGAGGCACTAAGTCCCCAGGGCCATGAATTATTCCCGCCTCCATAAACCGGAGCACAGAAGCAGCTCGGATATGGGAAGAGCTCCCACATGAGAGCAAGCTGGAGAGCCCCAGGGCCACCAAGAGGCGACTCATTCAGTCCCTTTGGTGCCTGCGGTTGGGCCGGGTTTAGGATGCTGAGCTCAGCCCAGCGCACGTCAGCAGCCGAGGCACTTGTCACCCCTCTGTGCCGCAGCTCCCTGGGCGTAAAGGAGAAGGACACCGTGATCGTCCCCATGGTCACCCGCAGGGCAGGTCACCCAGCGAGGGCTACTCCATTCTCATGGGTGGCCACTAAACGTGCCAGGAATTTAGGCCCTCTCTGCGTGGCCGGGGGGCACTGGGAGGGCTCCCAGGCACCTCCCTGTCCCCGCGGTGGAGGATGCGGTGACGGGGATGTCCTCCCGCTACCCAGCTGCGTTCCCATGGCAACGGTGCGGAGATGCCTGTTGCCAAGGGTGACGGGGGCTGCGCGGGAGCAGCGGAGCCCAGGGCTGCTGGCGAGTGATGTAACGGGGCTGCGCTTAAAGGGCCCG